AAGCATGACGTCCCTCTCCAAGGACTGGGCCCTCCTTGCAATGTGTCTAAAGTATATCAGACGAAACTTGAGAATCCTTGCCTCCAAGGAGCAGCCTGGTTTCACCCTCTCTGTGATGAACCTGTTCGTTCTCGTAGCAGTCCATGGTATATTAAATACTCTTCTCCAGCACCACAGCTCAAAGGCATCAATTCTTCTGTCATCCCTAGTCGTTGTCCAGCTCTCTGATGCATAGAAAGTGATTTGCAAAGACCAGGTGCACCTTAGTTTCCACACTGCTGGAGGGATTGTAAAATGTACAACCACTATGGAAAATGGAATGCTGCTTGCTCTTAAAAAGATAGAAATAGAAATACTATATGATCCAACAATCCCACTAGTTAGCATATATCCTGAAGAAATAAGAGCTGTGACACAAAGAGATACTTAGCACTCATGTTCATCACTGTATTGCTTGCAGAGCAAAAAGAAACAAGTATTTAGCAGATGCTCAGTATCGACAGATTAGTGGATAAATAAACTGTGGTTCATCTACACAGTGGAAAACTATATAACAGACAACAAGGGTGAATCTGGAAAGCATCTCAACATAAATGAACCTGGAGGACAGACTGGGTGAAATTAGTCATTCACAGAAGAGCTAATAATCATATGAAATCACATTTATAAAAGTCAAGATCACGTTCTGTGATGGAAGGAAGAGAGAAATACAACTCAATAACTAGAGTGTAGACATGTATTAATGTGAGAAGGGAAAGGCAGTAAGCAATAAAGGGAAGACGGACATAATATGATGTAAAATACAGTGGTAAATACTGTTACATATACAATCATGCAGTAATAGTAATAGCAAACAATCATTTACTAGTGCATATATAAAAACGCAAACTCATTATCATCCTGTAAGAAGTGATCCTCCAGCAGGTTTTCAGAGGCAATCAATCCCAAAGGCATGTGGTTCAAACCCATCTGCCGCACCACGTGAGAAGGATTGGCAGTATCTTCTGTGTGATTGTCTGCCTCTGAAAACTCCCTGGAGGGTCCACTGTGGGTCTGACTCAACAGTGAATAACAAGCTAGATTGATAGATGCTGAACATAGAATGCCACATAGGAATATGCCTACAAGTTTTACATAGATTTTGCAAAAGATGTTTCTACATGTGTATTTGTGTGTGCTGCAAATATATCCTACTTCATAGTAGGACATAAAGTAATTCAGACTCCTTTAGTCCCATAAGGGACCGAGTTATTGGACTCAGGACTTTGGACTGTAGTCTTGGGTGACATGTAGGTCAGTTGACATAATTTATAAAGATAATGTTCAGCATCCTACTTTAGTAAATGACTGGGGTCTTTGAAACTTGTGGCCATTCAAGATACAAGTATTGGTTTCTTCCTATTCAAAGCAAAGACAAATTAAGGAAAAGGAGGAAAAAAACACTCAAGGAAGCAAATAAGCCACATGGATGGACCACACATATCATAACATCTGTTAGCCTGAGACCAGAAGAACTTGAGGATGCCCTGCTACCATTACCAAGTGCTTTAATGAGAGTAGATGGTCACAGTCAGAGTGGGAAGAAAATGTAACAAAATTAAAAATGAGGAAGACCAAGAGTTACTTGTCTGATAGGGACTGGTGGAACCTTAGCTTTGTTGCAGCAGCGGCAGCAGCAGGGATTGCAATAGCTTCCCAATCATCTACTGCTATCACAGTTGATAAGCTGGCCGGTGAAGTTGCTGGTGCCCTTTCCTTACAGAATGAATTAAATAATCATGTCAGAGTGGGAATATTGAACTTAAACATGCAAACTGCCTTATTACAAGAACAGGTGGATCTTTTGTGGTTATTGCAATCGGTACCATGCAGCCCAACTTATCCACATATTTGTGTTACTAATGCCCATGTAAAGAACTTGTCTTCCAGCCTGAGAGAACTGAATCGGCATATCACAGGAAGATGGGACATGGAGTTCCAGCATTTCATGCAGAATTTGACCCTTCAAATATTACAAGTCAACGAAACCAGAGTGCCACTGGAGATGAACTGTTAAAATCATTAATGACAATGTTCCAGACATGGAGTGGAGTAGGAGCTTTATCTATACCTTTTGTTTTCGCTGTTAGCTTAGGTATATGTTGTTTGTGTAAATTGAGTAGACAAGAAGCTAAACGCGCCTTTATTGTACGTCAGCTTTATGTAGAGAAAGAAGAATCAGTTAAAGAGATATGGCTTAGTATATTAAGATAAGAATAGTCGATGAAGCATTTGTGGATCCTTATTTGTTTATTGCATAATTATGGGTTATATTGAATTGGAATATTGATTGTTGATTGGAACCTCAGTCCTAAGTCTCTACTGCCTTTGTTGTTTGATCCTGATTCCACGTTGAGATCCTGCCATAATTGTCCATTGAGAAGGGTGATCCGTCCCTTGGTGTGATTGACAAATTAGAGGTAGTAGGCAGACTCTATTCTCTCCATTTGTTTAGGCAAGCTAGGGAGGCAGCCAATGACGGGTAAGTTCACCAATCATCCATGTGCAACCTAAGACAGGGGTTCCACACCTAGAGGTGGACCTTCCGATGACGGGTAAGCCATGTGATGGATTGGGACAACCTAAGACAGGCGCTCTCTCTGCCATACTTTATTATAACTAAAAGGGGGAATTGTGGAGAGTCACGGATTCGCCATTACAAGATGGCGCCAACTTCCTGCCTCACGATTCGCCATTACAAGATGGTGCCGACTTCCTGCCTCGCTTTGTTTGTCGGAATCACACTTACAACCTTATTTGGACACTGTGTTCTCATTGGTCGATGGCTCGATCTCACGTGGGGTTAATGGTCCAATGGAGCATGACACATGAGACTGATGGGCGGAGACCTGAAGAGGGGATAAAAGGCTGCGAAATTTCCCTTTCGTGCTCTTGCTTTCTCTTGCGCTTGCTTTCTCTTGTCTCTTGCTCTTGCGCTTGCTTCTTGCTCTTGCTCTTGCTTTCTCCTGTCTCTTGCCTCTTTCTCTTGCTCTCTCTTGCTCTTGCTCTTGCTCTTGCTCTTGCTTCTTGCTCTTGCTTTCGCCACCACCCTCTGTAACAGAACTCCTGAGTAAACCACTGTGAGAAGGAACCGCTGTGTGTTGTGTCCTTATTCCGGCGGGACCAGTGAGGCGCGCAACAATCCTTCAGATCCAGAACCGAACCCACTTCCAGAGATCACCTTTCAACCAGTGTTGTTGTATTTATAGGTGCCAAAGGGTCAACACCACCTGAAGAAACCTTTGATGACAGATCAAACCCTTACCCAGTCCTGTGCCAGCCTCCCAGTCTACACTGGCTTAAAGTCCATGATTTTGTCAGTCTATCTTGTTGAGGGTTTTCTTCTCTTCTGTTGACCCTCCACCTTTTCAAGCATGATGTCTTTCCCCAAAAACTGCCCCTACCCCCGACAACATGCCTAAAATAGGGGAGACAAAACTGCTAAGGAGCACTCTGCATTTCTTCCAAGACAAATAGGTTTATAAAGTGAACAGTAACACCCAGGATGAATGTGCCCCTCAGAACTGCCAACCACTTGAGAAGGAAAGGATAGCCTTTTCCCAAAAGCAAAGTTGGAAAGCAGGAAAGGTGTGCTGTGAATGGAAACTCGAAACCCAAAGAGGAGGTCGGAAGAGTGCTGGTACATTGAGGAGACTGGAACTAATGTTGCAGAACAAAAATGTGTGTAAATGGAAAGCTAATTCAATCTGTAAACTTTTATCCAAACGACAATAAAGTTTTTAAAGGCAATAATCAAGCTGGTTTGCAGCGAAACGGCTAAACACACCAAGAAAGTAGGTGTTGTCAGTAAATACGGGACCCGTTATGGTGCCTCGCTCAGGAAGATGGTAAACAAAGTTGAAATCAGCGAGCATGCCAAGTACACTTGCTCCTTCTGCGGCAAAGCCAAAAGGAAGAGATGAACGGTGGGCACCTAAAACCCAACAACAATAGAAAGAGAACGTCAAAACTGCTTTATGACAATCATTGGAATGGAACCCCAGTGTAAGTTAAGGGTTACTTGGATTCAGTTCGCGTAGGACAGCAATAGTGAACAGCTACCCACCCTCCTATAAAGAAAAGGTGCCCGCTCTGCTTGTGTTAGTAGAAAGTGGAATGGTGAACTGGACTTTGTCCACCCATTTTTGCAGTGTCTGGTGGAAGGCGGAGAAGTGTGAGTACATTTATGGTGTTTTCCTTGTACGGTGGGCAGTCAAAAGGATTCCATTTTGCAGGGCTTTCCTTTGCTCACTCATTTTCTAGACATACTGATAACGTTAATTGTATTTCCTGATATCAACCAACCTGCTGTTTTATCCAAACCTCAGGTTATATAACATCTGATAGCTGCATCAGAGATGATGATGGCACAAGGTAGGACAGGATTCAGGTCTGTTGTTCATAGTGTTACTAGGAGTCTTACTCGACTCGCTGAGACCGAACAACAAAGCCACCAGAATTCCCTTGAAGAGGCTGTTCCTTGGAGAGGGACATCATGCTTGGACAGGTGGAGGGTCAGCTATAGAGAGGAAGACCGTCAACCAGCTGGATTGACAGTGACTGCTCAAGTGGGTCACAGACGATGAGGATGTCACAGGATCGGACAGATTCCGATCTGCTGTACTTAGGGTCGCTATGAGTCGGCATTAAACAATACAAGAATTAGGCACTCTCCCTGCTTTTCTTTTTCACAAGAATCTGCCCAGGATCATCTCTGGGTGGGTTGGTGCAATGCACACAGACACGCTGGAAACCGCCAGAATCAGAACTTCGTTCTTCCGGAAAAAGCGCATTTTTGAAATTCGCTCCGAGCCGGGCGGCCGTTGCCAAGCGACAGCGTCGCCGCTCGCGGTGCGTCGCGTACGGTCGCCTGCGCAGTGACGTCACAGACGGCGCGATGACGTACACGCGGCGCGGTGCACGCTGGGATATTTAAGTCCTCTCCGCGGCGCGGAGCCGCGATGTCTCCGGCGGCTGGAGCGCCTGGACCCGATGGAGGCGCTGAGCGGCGGCGGCCGATAGCGAGCACCCGGGAGGGACGCGGCGGCAGCGGCAGCTCGACAGGCGTGGTGCTGGTCGGCGTGTCGCTGCTGGGCCTCGTGCTGTACCTGGTGCCGGCGGCGGCCGCGCTGGCCTGGCTGGTCGTGGGGGCTACCGCGGCCTGGTGGGGACTGAGCCGCGAGCCCCGAGCTGCGCGCGCCTTTCCCTCGCTTGGTCGGAACCCGCGGCGCCAGCGGACGCTGTTGACGGCGCCTCCCGCCAAGTCGCCGGTAAACGGAAACCTCTTCGAGCCGCGGACTTTGCTGGAAGGACCCGACCCAGCCGAACTGCTCCTCATGGGCAGTTACCTGGGGAAACCTGGCCCTCCGCAGCCTCCGCACGCCCGGGATGGCAGGGACCTGCGAGAGGGGCCCGGCGGCCGGCCCGCCGCCCGCCCCGCGCTGCCCGCTCACCGCGCCCACCACCTCCAGCCCTCGTCCCCCGCTGCCCTTCTCCGCACCTCTCGGAGGCCTCCCCACAGGTGAGATAGATGCACGGATTGGGTACCCAGGCCGTCGTCTATACCTGGCTCTAAGAACTTCACCGAGGCCCCCTGGTTAAGGCTAAAATGCTGTTTCTGACTCCTTTAAACCCTTGCCTTTAGCTCTTGGAACGCGGTGCCCTGGTGCCCTGGCGATTCCCATTTCCCTCGAATCTGAAACCTTAGTCTTGGCCCGATTTAGCAAGGACCCGCGGTTAAGTGCTCGAAAGCTTGGCGGTTGGAACCTCAGGAGCCGCTGGGGAAGGAGAAAAATAGGGCGATTTGCTGCGTAAAGGTTTACAGCCGTGGGGGGCTGCGGGGGGCAGGTCCCGTCTGCCTGCGGGAGGGGGCTCGAGTCAGTGAATTCTGACTCGTTGGGTTAAGTCGGGGTCGGCTTTTAAAGCAGATCTGGCAAGTGGAATCATAGAGCCTGTGTTGTTATGCTGCTGCCTTGGGACCCACCAGTAAGAGAAATTTTACCAGCCCAACTCTAGAGCTGCTCCAGGGAATAAACTGGATTAATAAGATAACACATTAGAGACAGTTCTGTTCTGTCCCGTAGCTGAATAATATGGGGAAACAGACAAATGTGAAAATACTACTTGCTTGGTATTTACTTGAGAAGGTGAACATTTAGGTGTGGAAGCAGGTTAAAAATGTTTATGTTGAGGGAGCTCTGGTGGCCTAGTGGCAAGATGCTGCACTGCAATCCCAGAGGTGTTGTT